ATTTTGGAGGTTTATACACCCTCATTCTATTGAATTAATGGTGAGCTAGACACAGGAAAGAAAACAGAAATAATCATACATGGAGATTACTGGTAAAGTGTACTCTTCAACTGCTTGCTACCACGGAGCTTGCTACAAAACAGGGAACAAGACAAAGAAGAATCAAGTCCTGACAACAAGTTTATAGATATAATAAAATAAACAAGATATTTCAATATATTTCTGTTTTGAATGCCTATGACTTTGTCTTTAGATGTGGAAATACATTCTCATGTATTCTATACATTTCTTTATCTGCTTCTATAGATATACCCCTCTTTTGGCTGTCAGACAAAGCAAGTTGAGCCTGATTCTGCCATGTTCTTGCTTTTTACTTCACCTCAGACAACTTGGGAGGAGTGACTTATGCCAACATTGTTATCATTTCTCAGAAGAAGTGATCTTCTTTAATCAATACAAACAAAATCTTGCTATCTGCTCCATCTCTGCTCTGTTATTGGCACCAAGGCCATTGTGACTATGAACTAGAACAAAAGCCTCAACAACAATGTGGCACTGGAACTGCATTTTGCTTGTGAGAAGGAATTTTTCTTTCCTCTTTCCCAGAGTTTATCTCCCTAAAATGTTTATTTCTGTATGCTTTTCAGATAAGAGTGCCTGAATGATTATTCAACAGTGAAGAATCATGCTGTCTTGCCTCACTCTACTGTTATGATGCTTGGATATAAATGGAGTGAAAAATGTTCCTGAATCATAGTTGAACAGGGAATAAATAGATACAACAGTAGATAAACTTTCAATGTAACTTTAAAAACTAAAGGCAGTTGTGTTTTAACTCTATTTTATATGTATTCCTGATATTAAAACAAGCAAATGAATGCACCATTTATGGTAAGATTTTGCTTAAACCCATTACATGAAGGCTGAGATACAATGCCAGTAAATAGCCCAATCCCATTTTCTCAAGTTCTCTATTCACCTGCATGTTAGCAGTAGTGTGCAAGAATCTACTGCTGTTTTCTTCCATGCACACATAAATGGAATGTAAAAATCTACCAAGTGTGACTAGCAAAGAGGCCCTGTGGCTCAACTGGTAGCAGTGTCTCAAACTTACACCACTGTTAAAACTGATAGTCTCCATCATTCTAAGTCTCTGAGCCCTCAATAAATATGAAAGAACAACATAAATTATAACAGTCTGAAATATGTGGGAGTGTTCAAGACATGACATCTGTGTTGGGAACATGAATTCATTCAACATCTATGGCACCATTTCTTTCAGCTGCTGAGAGCAGATGTCCCATATCTGCCTCTCATTCAAAAGAAAGGTAGAATATTTAAGAGAAAAAAATCAGCAGGATTAGGTCACAAAAATCTGGTTTTTACAATTACGCACAGCAAAGAGGATTTAAATGAAGCCATTTTTAGTTTCTTTATATGCTCCTTTCTGTCTCTTTTAACACATACAGGTGTAGTATTTATTATTGCAATAAAAAAATAAAGTCATTGTTGTTCTACTTCAAGTCACATAAACAGAGTCCCAGACCCTCTATCACATCTGTTTATAAAATATATATTTGCTTTTTTTAAAAATAAATCTATTTGCCTTTAAAAAAATAAATCTTCAGTTAGTCCTGGCACAAGTTTTAGGATTTAAATGTCTGAATTTCTTTGCTCCGCAAAAAGCAAAAGGTGCCTTTGTAAGGGTAAATTTTCAATCTGTCAAAAACCCCATTTCCCTTGTTTCATTTGCAATGAACCTTAAACACAGCAAAATCACTGAGAGGAACGAAGGACATAGAAAGCAAGGGGAACTTTCCACCCCTGTACCTCACAGACACACATGTGGCCATTCTGTGTACTCCAACAGCATCAGAAGGACTCCTCAGAGGGGAAGGGCAGAGGGACAGACAGGAGATTCTCTTCTTTGATACCTGGTGGCTACCCAGGTACTCAGAACAATACATTTTAACTACTAAGATGCCTGGTAGCTAACAGCAAAGCACATCACTCTTTTTACAAGTATTTCCATATTTCTGTTAGTATAACTTGCACCACTTTGGTGGCAGGATATATAGCATGTGGAGACCAAAAGATTGGGATGTCTAGAGACTGTTCAGCTGCACAAAAGACAACAGAACAAGAGAGGCAGTTTCCCTGATATAACTACTTCTCTCCCTTCTTTTTTAAATGTGAAGTAGCCTTCAAACTGAGTATAGAGTAGTGTCAAGAAAAACTCCCCTTTTTATGTGACTCTCTAGAGAGCCCTTTGCTCTACAGACCACTTTCCTGGTCATAAAGACAGGCCCTGTGGTAGGGACTCTTACCTAGACCTCCAGGCAGTTCTGAAAGCACTTCCTGGGCTGGAGTTGCTGTTCATGACTTTTTGTTAGGGCAGAGGCTCTGCAAACTGCTTGATGAGAAATTGTGCTAGGAGAAGTAATATTCCTTCTGTAATTTTCAATAAGAGAAGTTATTTTACTGTGAACTTTTAACCTCCATAGGACAAGCTTCTACCCAAATCGTTAAGTGCCCTGGAAAATACCGAGAATCAGGCAGCAGGGGAGGAGATCCCCTGTCAAGATCCTTCTTTGTGATTTCACTGAGAGGAAGCTTGCTGCCCACACAAGAGCAGCCTCTCCTAAAATGAGCACTATAAACTCAATCTATTCATTTAGTGTTTCTGGGTGAAGAATCGGCCCTGTTGAAATCACAGGCCAATTCCTATTGACTTAAATTATTTAATACCTTAATGGAGACCCTGAGAGGGTGGACCAGCCCATGTGGACATTAAGGTCTGTATCTGTATCAGAAACATGGTGAAACCAAGAGCTGAAAGGATACTGGGAACTCGTGGAGGAATTTCCCAGAAAGACTACACAAGCACCAAAGCACTGTTGCAGGTGACTCCTATTTCTCTCCCGCTCATCTTTCCTCTTTTTAGTCCTAAGGGATCACAGGAGAGGAGAAAATAGCACAGGAACTTCTATGCTCCTTCTACAAATAGGTTTGTCCCTGCTCAGAGAGGGTGTAAGAAGGCAAGGCAGACCTTACTGGGCCTCACCAGTGATTCAGCTGCTTCAGTAGGTCTGCAGCAGTGGAAGACGCTATTTCAGGACATCATACAAACCTGGCCACTTTCTGCAGTATATATCCTGAGGATTGCTCAGCATCAATGGCCATTGAATGAGGGATGTTATACAGTACATTTCTGCCTACTCCCTTTAGTATTTGTTTATGGACCATTAGCCCATTATTTTTTCCATTCCTCTTTTGAACCAATTGATATTGTTATGCCCCAGAACTCTCTGCAGCAGCTTCCAGCAGTTCACCATTCACTTTGTAAAGAAGTACTATTTATTATTTTTATTAAACTACTTTCTCCTTAGTTGGTGTGTCTTGCAATTCTGGCAGTGCATGATTTAGCAAACAGCAGTTCTGCATCTGTTGTTTGCTATCATCTGCCTTCACAATTTGGAAAACATCAGTCACATCCCCTCCTCCTTCAGAATTCTCTCTCCAAACTGGAAAGTCCCAGGCATTTCATTTTTACTGTTTTCAAGTCCTCCTTCTCTGTATTTCTAACTATCTTTCCCACAATACAGACACCAGAACCATAGCCAGTAGGAAAAATGTGTGTGCACCAAAGTTTTGCACAGTGGAAAAAAAATGATGCTTTCTGGTTTATTCACAAGACAGCACTGAGACAGGCCTGACATTATTCTGAATAAATATGCCTGGCACCACCTCCAAGAAATTTGTGTCATGGGCCTGTCAAAGCTCTCCTCCTCCTCTGTCTTCAATCTTTTCTTCACCCTCCTACTGCATGCTCACATTCCTCCAAGCCAAGTCCACACTGCTCTCCCATTTTTCTGCTACACTCCCACTTTCCAAGCCACCCTTTCCAGTCTAGATAGATATCCTGCATGCACTGATTTACTGTGCACAAAACACTACTGAACATGCTAGAAAAAAGATATGGGAGATGTGCACCATTGCCTCACCCCAGAGCAGCTACCAAGAGGCACCTGCATTTGCATTGCTGTTGGGAGCAGTTGTTACTGTGTGTATAATATAAAGGCACATTCTTTTCACATACCTCTGCTTTACCTTCTGTATGCAAGTTTGGTGGGTCTAAGCCCACCTTCCTATGCCTAGCAAGTGGATCAGGGCACAGTGGATCAAGATGCACTTCAACTCTCAGCCACAGAGCCCGCATCTCCCACAACCTTGCTTTCAGTGCTGAACATCAACACCCAGATGAGTCAAAGCACCACTGCTAGTGAGGAGAAGGGATGTAAGGAAGAACACTATCAAACTCCACCTTTGCCTCTGCACACAAAGTCCACTATTTTCACAGCCACTTTGCCAACACTGGAAAGCATGCAGTGAAAAAGGCACTAACCAGGGTGAAGAATGAAGACACTGGTTCTCCATCAAAAGACAAGTTGACAGCAAAAAGGTTTAGATTTCCACAGTGATAAGCTTGGGAAAGGTATTTCTTCAGGACACAATACAACCACCACTGCCGAGGCTGCACAGATTTTGCCTGTCCCCCTTGCCTATGCCTTTAGATTGCTGCTGGCCTGGCTTCTGCCTTTACAGCCAAGGCTTCCCATGACACTCAAATCCGCTGTTGCTAAGGATAATTTTCACTGGTTCCTTCCACACTAATGTATATTCTGACATAATCTAAAGCAAGCATCACTAGGGGGATTTAATCAAAGAAATCTACTGGTAGTTTTATTTTGCAGTGGAAATCTGTAAAGCATATTTATCATCAGCTTATATTTTACATGAAAGGTCTGACTTGGCTTGTCACAAAATAACAGAACCCTGACATTAATTTGAGAATTATTTAAGCCTACAAAAATACCTCACCAGTCCTAGAACTAACTAGACTATAACCCCAGATACTTTTTGAGTAATATTTAAAATGAAATGTTTCACAAATGAGCCTCAAGATCTTAAATTAATTTAAATAAATTAGAAATGCATAGTCCAGTGATTGTGTAACTTCATTGAAGATACAGGATTTATGGCAATATCAGTGAAAACAGAACATTTTCCAAACAAAAGCAGACAAAACATTCATGCTGCAGAGTAATACAAAATAAAATATCACCTGATGAGCTCAAGCAATGATGATTTATATCTTTGAATTAACAAAATTTCTCTGTACATAAGACTGCAATTTTACAAACTGATATTTAGTTGAACATATTTATAACATAAATTATACACTATGTACAAACCTAGTTCTCCACAGAACTCTTTGTTCAGCACGCTTCATACAGAAGTGATTTACCAATTTCTAGGAGAGGACGCCAGCTTTTCCTTTATTTTGAATACCAAAACACTTATCAAAACATGAAAAAAAGCCATTTGCTATCACATGGCGCTGTTCTTAAGTCACTTGTTTGCTACCAGAAGAGTAGAACCAGTCACAACAATAAATAAATTTGCTTAATATCAACTAAAGACTTATATTCATGTGATCACACTTTCAACCTGAGTGCTTTTACAAGACTGTAGGATCCATTTATCTTTGCTTTTCTTGACACGTAGATCAAAATTGCAACTACAGGTACTGCTACCGCTGCTACAGAGGAGAATGCAATAATCAGTGGTAACATCTGATCCGGGTTTTCCAGTCTTGCTGAAAATGGAAACAAAAGGAGAAAAAAGTTGTGTAAAAATTGACTGAAACAGATATGTGCAAATCACTGTACAGACAGGGTTTGGAACACTATTTCTGTTTTCATGCACAAAGCATATTTCAAAACGTTTTCCTAACATGTTTTTTTTTAGTAATTTCATATTACACACTTTAATTCCTAGCCACTCAAACCCACCCGATACCATCTACAATGAAGAACACCATAAAATCCATGAAGAATACCAGAGGAATACCACATATTTTACCCAGGAAACATTTTGGTATGTTTCAACCTCCTGGAATCAATGCTTCAAGGGGAAGACCGTGTTTAAAAAGCCCACTCTTTAGATATTTTTGTAACCGAACTTTCTCTGGATTAGTCTCACTGTTCATGCATGTGGACAGAAGTGCAGCCAGAATTCACCTTTTTCTGGCCCTACCCTTAAAGCTACTGCACCTATCAGGTTAGAGAGAAACTAAATCCACACTGAAAGGAGGTTAAATACAGCTTATTCTCACCAGGTGGTCTATTATTTTGGTTGATTTGGGGTGTTTGGTTTTTTTTTTAGGTTAACTGCAGTACTGTTGTGCAGGGATCAGCCATGAACTAGTTGTGCTCACCTTGACACAAAATTTACCCGAAAGTACAAACAAAATATGTTTAAGGCAATAGATCTACCTACCTACAACAGCTATCTCAATCACTGCGATGTTGTTTTCAACCTTATTGAAAACATGAAGCAAATATATGCCTATATAATTTTTGTTGACATTGTAGAGTAAAAAGGTTCCATTCACTGATGGCAGAATAACTTCTCCTGATGGACTTTTTTCAGGACCATCTCTGATGGTGTGTTATTGTATGTGCTACATGTAATAGTGATATTTTCTCCTTCTTTAACATTTTCTGATGGATATACTAACACAGTAATATTTTGGGGAGGAACTGAAAAGAAATGCAAGGTAGGATTTAGCAACAAACAGATGTGAAAACTCCTGAGGTATCAGCTTTTACACACTAAGTACTAATCCAGGTAATGGACCCACTATAATAGCTGAGCACGTAGCTTTAGACACTACTCTGCCACTAGCTATCCTTCACACACTGAAGCCAACAGAAAGAAATTTTATCAAGTGATGGATATCTTTTACATTATATGGAGCCTTTTCTTCTTTTCTTATTTTAAATTCACTGTTTATTTGAGTTCATGAAAGGACACAGACCAACATACACAGAAGTCGATGTCCTCTTTCAACATAAGAGAAACAGAAAAGGCAAAGGAAAGATCCTAGAATTGTATTTTTTTCCACTAGGTTCTGCAATTTTGCATCCTGTTTTCAAAGGTGGAAGTGGAACTATGAAAAATTTTGAAGCAGCAATTATTTTGTTCATCTGCCATTTAGAACACAAGTTTTCATTACAAGTTTTCATTACTTACAACAAGAACCTGTGCAATTCATCTCAGTTTGTTTAAAGACAATTCTTAATGAAACTGAAGATGTCACTCTGTCTGTCTAAAACAAATCCTAATATTAACTCAGTATAGTAGTTATTTTAACTAACCTTTGGCAGTGTTGAGATTGCTCTCCCAGCTCATTAATAGTATGCTTGTGTATTTTCCTGCACCCTTTAGCTGAGCCCTGTCTGTGGTACATTTGCCATCTACTGTTCCAAGGTTTTGAACCCATCACCTATTTTTCTTTTACAAAGTACTCTGAACAGATGTAACATACAAAAATATGCAAGGAATGGTAACACTTTCCTCTTGTATCACTGCACTTGAAGGGGAAATCAAAAGTGTATTTTTTGGTGCAGCTACAAAAATAGTAAAGAATAGGGGAGAGAGCTGGATTAGCAGCAGAAGTGATCCCTAAGTAATACACTGTTGCTATGCAATAGACAGAAGTGACAGGGCTAAAGCAGAGAAGCCTACTGACTACTGAAAATGGAACTTCGCTACCATTGCAGGTCAGTTGAGGAATCAGCATTTGTTATGGCTTAAAGGCAGCCTGAAAGAACAGGATACAGAGTTGAACTCAGAGGAGAGCCAGGGAGCTGTAATACAGTGCTTCCACAGTTAAGTTTCAGCATGTACTTTCTCTTTGAATCTTCTGTATGCAGATATATCCTGAGACCTATTTGGAAGAAAATACAGGCACTACACACCTTCTTTACCTGATGCATACATTAGCCAGTGTGGAAGGAGCAGTGAAAGCTCAACTGACATAAGAACTTTTCATAAGCTATCTGTACTAAGGCAGATTTCACACTTCACTGTTTAAAGCTGCCTAAATGACTTTTGTTTAAAGCTGCCTAAACGACTTAATGACATTAAGGACACCTTTTAACTCCATTGACATCAAAGACAGAACTACCCCATTCTTCACAGAAGGAGATCTGGACCTAAAATACATAAAATAAAAAATTTGTTTTCCATCTTGTTCTACAAACCTTGAACAAATAATTTCACAGCTTTTTCTTCCTTGCCAAGTTGGTTATAAGCTTCACATTCGTAAAGCCCCAGATCTTGACTTTTTAAGTTCTGTATAGTTAAAGTTGCATTTTTAAAAATTTTCTCAAACTCCCCAGTGGTTTTCTTTTTCTTCCAAGAGATCACAGGAGATGGATTGCCAGAACTAGTACATTTCATCACCACAGTTTCTCCTTCTTTAACAGCAGTAGCAGGGATAACAGAGATCATTGTATTCTTTGGTCCATCTGAAAGGAAGAGTCCTATAGTTAATCATGACTGGATTTTTCAGACATGGATCCAACATGTTCTACTGCATGGTAGATTGTCAGCCTCCCAAAGTTAATTTCTTTTTCATTCTCAGAAAAAGTAAAGCACACAGTATCAGAGTTTCCATACAAACCCTCCATAGTCTAAACATACTAACCAAGTACTCCAACCAAGACTGTTAAGAAGGCAGACCAATTTCTCACTCATTCAGATCCTGACTTAAGACTGTCATTACATTAAAAATTTCATGATTTTGTTTTGTTCATCAGCACTGCTCCTTTCTTTGGGAAGAGCAATGGACCATGCTGATTTTTTTGTACTCACAGGATTTTGTTTAATTTGATAGTTATATTTATCACAGAAGATTCAACTAATTATCTTTAAATGACTGGGAAAGCTTTACATATACTTACATTCCACATTAAGTGTTATTTCACTTTTACTGTTCCCAAACTTATTTTCTGCTACACATTCATAGTCTCCTCCATTTAGGAACATCACAGATGGAAGAAGGAGAATGCTCCCTGCACTGAAAGGCTCCATGTCTGCACTGTCAGATTTTCTCCTTAAAATAATCTTGGGAGGAGGGTTACTCTCAGCAGAACATTGTATGGAAACATTTTCTCCTTCTTGAACTGTTGTAGAAGGCTCAATTGAGAGCTCTGTGATGACTGGAGCACCTGCATGACAAAATAAAAGGATGTAATACTAATGTAAAAGTACTTAAGATGGAGAAGGTTTTAAGACAGTAGGAATTGCTTGCCCAAGGATCTATTCATTTTGGTTTTGATCCCAGACTCTATCTGAGACTTTTGGCTCTGTTGAAACAGTGGCAATCAATAAAAATAAAAATAATAATAAAAATAAAATAGTTCTACCATTAAATGACTACTAAATTCATTACTAATGACTAAAGCTAGTTCAAAGAAGGAGAATGCCATGTTCCTGTGAAATCACTATGTACATTATATTTCAAGGAAATAACAGTATGTGGCCCCTCACCACTTTCTTAGATTCTTTTATCACTTTGAGTGTTGCATTGTGGGAAACGTACAGAGGTATGCATATACAACAGTACAGACAGAATTAGCTATTGAAAATTAAGCATAGAAAGAAAAAGTACAGCCCACAAAGAGCAGTCATAAATTGAAGCTAAATCCTGAATATGTAACAAGGAGCATTCCATAATTTCCTAATTTTTAGTGTTTCAGCATCCTTCAACCTAACAAGCAGCTGCCAGTTAAGTATGAGTTAATACAAGTTAAATTCAAGCAGACTTGTACCTTGTATAACAATGTCCACAGTTGCAGTCTCTGTTCTATTAGTTACCAGATTAATTACTTCACAGATGTACAGTCCTGAATCACTGAAACGGGCATGGGGAATAGAAAGGACATTGTTTTTTATCAGATGCTGAATGCTTTTGTTAGCCAAATGTTTTCTCCAAACTATTTGTGGTGGAGGGTTGCTCTCAGTCGCACAAGTGAGTTTTAGAGAGTCTCCTTCCATTGCTGAGTTGCCTGGAGATGCAGTAATGATAGTATTTTGTGGACCAACTGTGAGAGAACAAAAGAAAGACAAGATCAGCAAGTAAATGAAAAATGACAAGCACATCTTTAAGACTAGCTTCTCTAGAGGTACATTTCACAGAATACCAAGAAAAAATGATTAATGTGTATCCCAGTAACACAGTGGAACAATTTTTCCAGACTTGATAAGACATTTTGCTTGCAGCTTTGAAAGCTAAGCTAGACAAAATGTGTACAATTTTTTTTACTCTTTTTTTTTTAAATCTCCTTATTGTTTACAACTATAAACTTGGAATTCCTAGGCATACAATTCCAATTTTAAAAACTTTTTTTTATTTGCATGATGCCATTTTTCTTCTGACCTTTACTTTCTGACTGAGTACCAGTGCCCGAGGTAAAAGAATGAGAGGAGTTGCTTAAGCATTGCCTAACTTCTGATATGAACAACAGTGACTCAGTGACTGCTACTGAATACAACAGAATTCAAATTAATACAATAGATTATCTACACAAATAAATCAGATAAGAAGTGCAGATTACAAATTATTTATAGTACACACTTTGTAAAGCCATCCCACGGAACTTGACACACTTTGTGTGAACGTCCTAGTACAAAAATACTTACAATTGGCATTCAGTTTCTGAGAAGATACCCTTTCTTTGGGTTTAAAGTCCATATAAGGAACTGGTAACCTGGCCACACAGGTAATCTCTTTCCCAATATCTTCAGCCATGGGAATAAATGAATATGTCACAGTTTTGGTTTCTGTATTTGTGCTGTCATCTCCATAAAAATTTTTTTCATGAAGAACATCTTCCTCTTTCTTTAGGATTAGCTCCAGGTGCTCAGAAGGATACACATCAGGAATTTTACAGATGACAGTGACTGTTTCTCCAGCAACTGAGGATGGGCTGATCTCAATGATAGGATCACTGGGGAAAGCTAAAAGAATAAAATCAGTTTCTTTAGACTAGCAGAGATGAATACTAGAGTCAACATGAGAGCAAGATCCAGATAGCAAACATCTTGAATTTAGAGGTGTTCAGAATGTGACATTATATCAACTTTATTACAAGACCTATCTTGATATGAAGACATACAGGTCTTTTATTTGTACAATTTCTGAAATACGATCGCAAAAAATCGAGTAAGATCCAGCAAGGTACCTCAGCAGTGATACAGCTGCCTAAACACAGGTACTCAGAGCAATTCATGCACTGGTGGTATCCTGTTTTCTCTGATGGTGGGATTAGACACCTGAATCATTCCCCTGAGAACTAAAAAGGCTTTGATTTTTTTCCCCCCAGCTCTATGACTGTATTCAGGGAGCCAAGAATAAGAATAACTAAGATTAGTACCTACTAAGCTCAGTGCAGAAAGCTAAGCAGAAAAAGGCTAAGAAAGTGTCCTTCACAGACAGATAAAGGAATCTTACAAGGAAATACATGTTGAGCTATAGCAGACTCATTGTCCTAAATTACAAGTTAACTACCAACCACAATTATGGATTTTTTATAATCATGCACTAGTTACAGAGAATTTTACTTTTACTTACAGTAAAGTTCAACTTTGACACTCTTCTCTTTTTTCCCTTTCTTATCACAGAAGACAGTACACAGATAATCATGAGAATTCACAACGCTAACTGGATTCATAGTCAAGGTAGAGTATGTTCCATGGTTGTTCACTGTTCCTCCAAGGGGGTTGTCCATTTGTGTTCTCCAGGAAAAACTTGGTGATGCGCAGCCAGTGGTATTGCATGTCAGTATGAGCATTTCTCCAATCTGGGCAACAATTTTATTAGCAGGTATAATCTCCATTTCAAAAGCTTTAACTACAATATGGAGAAAAGACACAAATTCAGCAGCTTTCTCAACATTTATTTTTCTATTTCTTCTCATGTTCTACTGTGATATAAGGTCTTTATGTTTCAAATTTGCTTTATAGATATGTGGAAGTTAAACTAAAAAAACTCATACAGTGGTTTACATCTCCAAAATACACCATAGGCATTGTTATTTTGTCAAAGGTAATACAGACTCAGATGACTAACAAACAGTTCTCATGTATAAAATGGCATAAACCCAATGCTGTCAGTGAAAAGAAATGCATTGGCACAGTATAACTTCTTTTTTTGTCAGGTGAATCTGGTTCTAAAACCTTGTAACATTTGAGGGGAGAAGGTAAGATAGCAAGGACAACTTCAGAAACACTTTCAACAGGACTTTTAGTACCAAACTTCACCAATACTGTCAGGAACAACAGTAAAAATCAAACATTGAGTGATACACTGCAGTTGTCTCCTAGACTGTCTTTTAGCAAACTCAGTAAGAAAATGATTGTGTCTTTGCAGAGTACAGAAAAGCTCAACATAAGTGTCAAAAAAAGGTTCCTGACATTTTGACAGAACTACTTAATTGACAGTTGTATTCACTGAAATGAAAAAGTAACTGGAACAAAGAGAAATAAAGATCAAACAGTAAATTTTAGGTCAGTTTATGCTTAAAAAAAATAAAAACAAATAAAACAAGCACCACCAACCCCTCTCCCCAACTTACCAGTCCTTAGCACACACAAAATTACTAGCAGAGCCTGGCTTGTTCTTCCCATTTGTTTCAACATTTCTAATTGCTGTTACCAGGTAAAGAAAGTAAATTTAAAATTTTTGCTTTCTATTTTCTGTGAAGAAGCACAGTGAGATCTTGCTGCTCTGCAACAGTTTATTAGAAGAGCTCTAGTGTGCTCTTTATAAAGGCTCTCCTCCAGCTGGAGCGGGAAATCCCCGGACAGGGATATCCAGAGCAGGGAGGAAAAGACCCATATCGGGCTGTGCCGGTTGGCTCAGCGCCCTCTGCTGCTTTGTGAAAGGCCAGGAAAATAATAAACATTAACACTTGTAAATATAGTGCATACTACACTTTGAAAGATCAAGTCAAGATCTGATCCTGCAAACAACTGATAAAATGGAAGTATGTGGGTGATTCCAAGTAATTGAATGGCACTTTATCTCAGATGTAAAAGTTATTCAATTTTGTTTTCAGTGAAAATATTTTTGTAGGTCTGAATCTTGAGAACACTTTTAACAATGCTCTGCTCTGTAAAGAGCATTATGCTGTAAATAGCATTTCAAAGTATTCCCTTTGAAAACTGTGCTACTAGTTTAAGAGGCGATGTTACTCGTTCCTAAATAATTTTGACCCCTAAACATGAAGAAATAAGTCAGATAACAGAAGTCCGGAGATCTGACTTAATCAGCTTGAATCAGGCTCATACTATTCAAAATGAACTAATAATCCCAACTCCATTTAAAAATGTCCATTACTGATATGCCTCTCAGATCTCTTATGTCCCGTTTATATATGTGGGAAGTATAGCAGTTATAGAACAGCTTGGGGATTATTTTCAGTATTTGGTTTCCAGTGGGTATTCAAAGCCAGTTTGGAATATTTCTGAGGACAACTATTGCTGCCTAATATAGCAACAATATTATGAAAAAGGTAAACTAACATTTTCAGTGTTTAATTTTCAGCTGGAAAATGCTATCAATGCAAAGAATGGATAAAGGTTTCTACATCTCAGTTGTTTACGTATTCAACTACTTGCGTGATTCAGGCACTGCAGAGTGATCCGGACAGGCTGGATCACCGGGATGAGGCCAATTGTATGAGGTTCAACGAGGCAAGTGCTGGGTCCTGCACTTGTGTCACTACAACCCCAGGCTACACTACAGGCTGGGGGAAGGGTGGCTGGGAAGCAGCTCTGGGGAAAAAGACCTGGGGGGTGCTGGTTGACAGTGGCTGAACATGAGTCGGCAGCGTGCCCAGGTGGCCAAAACAGCCAATGGCATCCTGGCCTGGATCAGAAATAGTGTGGCCAGCAGGACCAGGGCAGTGCCCATCCCCCTGTGCTTGGCACTGGGGAGGCCACACCAGTTTTGGGCCTCTCACTTCAAGAAAGACATTGAGATGCTGGAATGATGAGAGGAAATGGCCTCAAATTGCACCAGGCAAGGTTTAGATTATATATTAGGAAAAAATTCTTCGCTGAAGGGTGGTTAGGCATTGGAATAGACTGCCCAGGAAAATAGTGGAATAACCATCCCTGGAAGAGTTCAGAAATGTCTGGATGTGGCACCTGGGGACATGGTTTAGCAGTAAACATGGCAGTGCAGGGTTAATGGCTGGGCTTGACCTTAGAGGTCTTTTCCAACATAAATGATTCTACAATTCTATACTGGTCAGTTATGAATCACTAAACAAAAGCAGCAAGAAATTCAGAACAAAACATGTGTGTTTTTAAAATGTCTCTGGTAAATCTTTTGGTATGTAACTGTTTGGACATTTGATGTCTGTGAAATACTGTAATCACATAGCGCATTTTATAAACAGCACAGATTCAAATATCTAGTAAGTGAGTGATAACTTGGAAAAATAAAGTCAAGCAGATATTATATGGTTAATAACCTAATGCTAGCTCCAAAATACCATGTTCAGGTGAGAGTGGTACCACAGGATGTAAGGGTCCTGCTGGCCTACAGGCACTGCAACTTCTTCAGGAACTATTTTTGTTGTTTTTTACCTGACTGCAGCCGGCCATACCTTTGCATCCTCATCAAAGGACAGCTGGACAGCACAAGCTGCTACAGAAACACACTGGGTAAAATAGGAAGCATCAACCACTTTTTTCCTCACTTATCATAAACTCATAAATATGAAAGGGAATTAATGATAGTGGAAAGATAAAATTGTGATCTCAGCCAGAAAGGATGTCTTCAAAATCATAGTAATTAATAATAAATGAACAAAACACCCCAAGAAAACCCAATTACCCAGTAGACAATAAGACAGGGAAATCTGAAGCATCTAGTAATGCCTGACCAAATTCAGTGAAAATGTCACAGTGGCTTCTACCATAATAGTTTATTTTTATTATCACTATCATAACTTTTTCTTTGTTAGAGAAGGAGAAAAAATAAAAAAAAAATCTCAAAAGTCTCAGGAAATGAAAGCAGAATACTGCTCTGAAAGTAATGCTATCAAATACAAAAATCCAAAATCTATCCAGAATAGGTAACAATACATTTACAGAATTTGATTTGATTTCACAGAAAATGGTTTTGTTGAAGAAAAGCACTCTCTCAATTAAGTTGCAAATAAATACTTTAAAATCATAGGCAGAGAGAAGCAAGAAATGAAACTCTTCTGCTTGGGCTGCTTAAATAGTCATAAGCTAAGCTGAAGAAGAAAGGGCAAAATTTCCTTGTTTCTGGGAAATCAGTTTCTAAACAAAGATACGAACATAGGAGGCCATATCCGCATGCTGGAAAAATTTTAATTAAGTCCTTCATCAGATAACATGAAATAGGAAATAACTCTGATTCAGCTCTCAGCAGATTAAACTGGACAGCTGCCATTAACTTTAGTGGAGTTGGATCCTTACCGGAGGGACTACTATACCAGATGATGAGACAAATTTAACTCAGACAGTATAGGTAAGAGCAGAGTTAGCCAACAAATATTATTAAAGAAAGTACAGATCTGCCACAAAATTAAAAAATTTCTTAAAATTTGCTCTTTACCCAACCTCAAATGTGAGCTTCCTATGTATTTTAAAAAGAATATGCACTTTACTGTTACTCCTACTAGTCTCAGCATCAACCTCCAAATAGGGTACCAAGTTTGCTTGTTTTCAGAACTGTCTGTACTGTCTGAAAACAAATAGAGATCAGCTGACAAGTTTTAGCAGTTTACCTCAAGAGTTCAGATAATCTAGGTTTTTATTCAAACAGCACAGAGGAGGATGCTGGGGATAAAAACAGAGGATGCATCTACATCCACAGTGAGATAAGTATTATAGGATCAACTGGAAAAAATCTTGACACATGAGGAGTGTAATGAAGACTGGAATGAAACAAGTATTACAAGAATATCACTAAAGGCAAAAAAGATTAAAAGAATTAAGCATTGGGACATAAATATATGTTTTCAAATACATCTATTAATCAAAAGAGACTTTTCTCAGGCTTTGATAGACAAAGACAAAACAATTGTGTGTCTCAGAAGGGAGTCTGGAAATACCGAACACATCATTTTTGGCCTGGCATCAGAATACACAAACGTCCTTCGGGAAACTGAAACTTACATCAGACTTTTCCGGAATGTAAGAAAAGAAACCATTTCAGAACTGTGCTAAGTATTTGCTTTAACTCACACTTCTACAATCCTGTTAAATAACTATATGATGTACTTACTAGTTTCCTCTTGACAAAAGAGATAGGAAGTTCTTGATGCCTTAATGAATTATTTGAACAAAATGCACATTATCCAACATGTTACTTATCCAACATTTATAACCCTCTTCTTGCATTTTTAATATACTGCCCTTAACAGTTCTTCAGCCTCGTATCACAGAGGTATTACAGCAAGTATAAACTTAGGTCCCTCACACATCTCAGGAAAGATATCCTTGGGATGCACACCTGGGTGCCTGAGTAAAGAAAGCCTCTTCCAGAGTTTCCGATGTTTTATGGAAGCAGTTGGGATGAAGAGCTTCCACCCCACTCAAAGAGTGTCTACAGTATGATCATGCCTAAAGGACAAGAGCCAGAGCAATGTGCTGTAACTCAGATGAGAACTATTCTCAGAGGGAAAACAGACATGCAGCAGCAAAGAAGGAATGCTCTTCAGGCACCACATCCAAGGTAATACCTTTAATATGGTCATATCTTGATCAAGTAATAGAAAAAACATGAACCTGGAGGATATGTATGAACACTGCTGACTATAGGGCTAATATAGCAGGTAATGATCTGCCAGTCTCTAAATCTTCAGTTCTCAGCAACCTCAATAGCCTGCTATTTGGGTTATACACTGTCTCCTTCCCCAGTGCCTATGGCTTTTTGGTTCCCAGAACTTCTTGACCCTTTGCCTCTCCTGATTCCCTCCACCTGCTTTCTCATCACCTGACAATAATACAACCTCAGTATAGCCCCAAGAGGGGGAGGAAAGCATCACTGACTCCCTATAATTTTCATCTCCGGCTGGGAAGGATGAGATCTACATGCAGATCTATTTAAAGGGTTGTGTCTGTTTCACAAATTGTAACTTTGTACCTAACTACAAAAAGAACACCAACGCATTACCCTGTAACCCACATCACACCTTACAATTGTACTCCACATCTAACTTGTCATCTATTGCAAAAAGGAAAAAAAAAAAGAAACATCTTAAAAAAGTTTTATCATCTGCTTCTTTCCCTTTTCTGGAATTTCTTAAATACTGTATATAAAAATAAATGCATCTACTTCCTCATTATCTTTCTCAGGCACCAGCTTCCCAGCTATGACACTTCCTGTTTGATTAGTCTGAAGGCATCCAGATTCCACAAAGGTGCCAGATAAAATAATACAGACTTGCACAGACTACAAAATAGTTAATATCTTATTTTCTTCTATTCAGACGCATTGTCCATTTCACTTTACAGAAAGAACAAGAAGTTCACCTACCGATAAACAGAAGCCACTACAGAAAAAAGTCCCTACTTTTTATACTCTATTGTTGCTGGCAAAAAACAAGCTGTGGAAATTCCAAATTCTATTTCTAAAAAAAAAAAAAAAGTATGATTTTAGTGACGCTGAATCTAAAAATGAAACTGTTGAATAGCCTTTAAATCCACATATTTAAAGTGCCAAGTACTGTACTGCACGTCAAACTTCATTAGTTTGGATAGCTGAGCTCCTATTGTCTTCATAGTGACATAGGTAAAAAAAAAGTTTCCCATTTGAAATATTACCCAGTGTACTCAAATTCAAATACGAGCCTTGGAGCACTCAGAATTTCTTCGGGAATTTTGAAGTAAGAGTTCAGATCTACTTTTATTTTGATCCAAATATACCAACACATAGCAAAATCATTTGTTCTCACTGGAGCTATACCTTTTTCAGACAAAACTCATTCAAAATGGTCAGAGTAAAAAAATAGAGTGGGACAAAGTGCAGATGGGTCAAAGTGCAGATGCTGGCTAGAACCTAGGATATGGCAAGATGAAGCCAAATGAAAATATTTAAGAAGGAACATGACCCAGTTAATAAATTCCCCCAACATTCTACATGAAATTCCAATACCACTAAATACTGTTGTGTACCTCATTAAGGAAAGCATTTCACAGGATCAAAATAAGTTTATCAAGACAGGGGTGGAGAACTTTTTGAACAAGCTTTGTTATTACTCACCAGCAGCCGCTCTCCAATGCACCTGTGGATCAGTCACTTCCCTATTTCCCATCTCCTTCCTGTTCTTCAGTCATGAGGTACATATATGTCCCTATGGACCAAGAAAGACAAAGGGGAATGATGAGACCAAGGTCTGTAACAGACAATTTCACCTGGAAGAATGCAGAACTCCTAGGCAGGAGAATCCTACTGATAACTGCACTGCTACTAATTGATTATCCTTCAACTTGTCTATCAGAATACATTCTTTTTTCTCTTACACTTGTTCATATTCTGAAGAACCACGTTCAGCTGTATAGATACTATTTTTGCTGCCTTGTATTATAGAAATGTTATCTTTGTACTCCTAAGGTGGACTGGTTCACTAACAGTAGAAATATTACACAGATATCAGAAAGAAATTAAATTACTTAACACTGCATGATTCAAGATTCATAATTTTTAAATCTTCCATATCGGTAAGAATTACAGGGATTGCACAATTTCATTATTTTGTTTATTTTTTTTTAAGACACATAAAGAAATCTTTCTTTTATCTAAATATTGTCATTTTTCCCTTTCTGGAAGTGGACTGAAAGTTCTAAAGAAAATGACCCTCCAAATAGAAACAAGAGGGAATGAACCAATTTTTACTTCCATCAAGCCAAAATGACAAGTATCCAAGAGAAAGCATTTTGCAATATCTGTGTGTGACTGTGTGTCTGTACACATACTGATAAACGAAATGACACTTGAAACGAGCTGCAAATCTATTAGGGATCTGGTACCTTTCCTTTATCTCTTAAATGTGCTCTACCTTAAATCAAAAACATGTTGTTTCTTTACTTAGACTGTTTTGCTCTTTACTTTTTTCCCCCACACAGTTAAGTATCATCTTAACTGCTCCATTTGTTAACACTTTCATGGAAGGAATATGCCGAAGTAGGACTGGCTAAGTGACAAAAACCATGAGCAGCTGAATTTTTCTAGACAGGCAAGGGTAAAAAAGATGCAAGCTACTGGAATTTATTCCCCCTTCCCAGACAATTACTTGGCTAGGCATCAAAGCCCCAGTCCTTGTAGTCTGATATAGACAATGGAGCAAGAATGACTTTCATAGTTGTGTCACCCTCAATCACAGACCATGTTACTCTCTAGTGATAAGAGAGGCAACTTGAGAAATGTGACACATTTGAAATTGCTGACAGGCAGGACAAAGGTCTGTGCTGAATTAGTATGAGAAATATTTGACTGCCAACATTCCAACGCTTCTTAGCCAAGAATCCCTCCCGAAATTTCCCAAGAATTGTATGTGAATATCAAATCATAAGTAACAGATGGTTTAATGACCCTTTTGGTTGGATAAGTTTTGCTTTGCTTTGACTTAATTTCTGACTATAGTAAGCTCCACACCATGAGGAACAGATATTGGTACCACTCTTTCAAAAGCTCAGCTCCAGACAAATGCTCTGCCCATTTGGTGTTCTGGCCGAGGTTCTCTCTCTGCTGAATGAAATCACTATTGACTAAGCCGGATGACCACGCAGCTACTGAGAGGGAGTTCACTTGGAAGCTGGCACATCCTAATGGGAAAGAAAACAATTCTGTGCAGTGGACAGTTTCTAAAAGATAAGGAAGATGTAAATGTTGTGTATGCAGCATTGAATCCTTTTGCAGATCAAGGATCAAATCCAGTTAAGTTCTGGTAGGCTCATGAGCTTGAGATTAGTCTTACCTCTGTAACATCTTTCTCTATGCAGGATATCAAGTAGCACGGTGACTTGGTACCTGCAAGACCAACAGGATGAAGGAACAGGAATTTCCAGAGACGTGTGAGGGTGAACTCAAGATTTCAAGTAAATTATCTTACACTGAGTTTCCTAGATTTTTTGAATGAATATAATACAATTATCTCACACTGAAAAGAAATAAACTCTAGCAATTTGTTATTATTGATAAAAAGTGTTTGATACAAAACTATCAGCCTATAAGCGATTTCTTATTATACTGATTCATCTCTTATGGTACCAATATCTAGCTTCTGACTTTGCTTTTGTTGTACTCTCAGGTATCTTGTGCCATAATTCTACTAAATTTTGTGGCATGAAGAGATTGTCATTCTACCTCTGAGGTAAGCATATGGATCCTGTTGTAGCTTATGGTTTCACAAAATGTGCCATTACTTATCAAATATATTCTATTGACAATTTAAGATCTAAGATAACTTAAGAAAAATTGTTTCCCTTTATCATGTATATTGTATTTCTTAATTGTAATGTTTATTTTAAATTTATTTTTATATGCAATTTATTAATTGAAAAATTAATAAATAAAATTTATTTTTAAAGATTGCTAGAAGGTTTGCAAATTTAACATAAAGGAGGACAAATTTTTAGGTGAACTCTATAGTACAGAATGATTACCAGAATGAACAGAAATTTATCACAAAGTTGAAAAGTAAGCAGTGTGTTTAAAAATCCATAACTAACTGGGGGAAAGAAATTACTAAATTGATGATTCTGCATAACATTCTTTGTTAAGTTAGTTTTATTTCTGTGAATTATTTGTAAACTTACCTCAATCTTTTATTTTCTTATTCTTCTTAGTAAAATTTATTGTTTCAATGAATGCATTTCATATTATGGTATTCACCTGTTTTTGTCAGGACTTGTATTGTACAATACACCGTTTAGGATTCGGTTTATCCTTCCAAAGCTTTCTTAGATGGAAAACTAAGAAAAAACTCAGACGACCAAGTTAGTGTTTTCACTGACAGACACAGTTATCTATTAGACTGTGAATAGTACTCTTCTGGCACACAGCTGTAGAGCAAACTGGAAATCCTGTCATGATCTATTTAGCAGAAATAGGGACATGAAACCAACCAAGAAGTCGTCTGTGACTTCTTGGTAATCTCAGGATAACCGAGTTACAACAATTTACAGTTGCAACAATTTCATGGTAACTCCTTAAGGTCACTGAAGGTTAAACACAACGCGAGCCTAACTCCATATGGGATTGAGAGCTTTCAGTTTCATCTTGGCTGTGATTGCTCCCTGTGTCTCAAAAGAGAAATGTTTACATTATTCAGAGAGCTCCCTCAAGCACATGGAATGTCAAGAGCCTGGAGTGAAAGCAAGTATAGGCTGTATTGTCACATCTGGGTTTACAACACACAGAAGTGTTTGGGAACAGTGACAGCAGCTTTGTGCTGCCCATAGGAATATGCAGGAATTACCCAGGAGCCCGGGGCAGCTTTAAGATCTTGCTGTTAAAGAGAAATGAAATCTACCATTCCTGTCAATATAATAGTGCTTTACATAGAAATAAATTTAACAGGCTCTTCTCTGAGAAACTTACTACTCAAGGTATGTGTGAATGTCAGCCCTGGCACTAATTTCTTTGTTAAATTTCCAGGGTTCACATAATGAGAGGCTATTCGAAAGAGCAGTAAAACAAATGCTTTCAAACACCATAAGTTGTTCTTATGCTAAAACTTAAACATTTTTACTGACAAACTAGGAATCACTTACAGTTGCTCCACAAAACATAGTAAATAATGCAAGTAGATAAAAGAACAAAAAATGGAAAAAATGGAAAACAGGAAATAGATATTAAATAAAATTCTGGAAACGTTATTAAATAGTATTGTCTTCAATATGTCACATAATTTAGTAAAACTGGTTTGTCTTATCAAGTAGCTGAAATAAAAGAACAAAGGGTGCTACCACATACAGCAGAAAAAACTATTATAGGGAATATTCTTATTCTCTTATTCTTATTTACATATATTATAAAATAAATTACATATTTTGTATTGGAGGTTACACTTTTTAACTTCTTACACCAAAAGGAAACTTTTTTATACATAAGTTCTGCTGCTGCTCTTTCTCCCTTATGTTCTGAACTCTTTGCTTTTTATCTTTTCCATCATATATTAAAAGAAAGGCAACTCTACACCAAAAATTTTGACATAAAGGTCTGCTTTTGCAAGAGGAAGAGGGTTTTTCCAGCCAATTCAATATTCCTCTGAATCCTAGTAAGAATCATGGAAAATAGGCCAGACGCTAGCTAGTTCTCAATGACCTCACTCAGATTCCCCCACCACCAGCGTTTCAGAATTCAAATCCTGTTTGAATGTGCTCATCAGTGTAGTTGTTATAAGGAGACAGAGATGGACAGATAATGTATCCAGACTTTGACACTCCACTAAGGCTTTGGTTAATCAAACTTAGATTTTTATCAGAATATATAAACACCTGCAACCAGTCAGAATTTTTTCAAGCCAGAATCTCATATCTGAAACTGGCCAAAAGCAGATTAAAAGATAAAAGCTTGAGAATGCTGGAAACACAAGTGATACAGTTCCTTACACAGGGACTCAGAGAGAGATGGCCTCTTTGCACTGAATCTGTGTTTTTGAGAGCATAATTCAATACAAGAAAAATCATATGAGTAAATGGAAAGAAATATCTAAGAGCTTTGGAAATACAAATTTACTGATATGTATTTCTAAAGCTTGTAGCCTTTCAAAATCTTATTCTAAACAAGACAGAAAAATAGAAATTAATAGTATTAGCTAACACTAGTTCAGTTAGAACTCAGGAATCACCTGCTCTGTTCTGCCAATCTAAAACCAACTCTGCTGCTTTATACACTTCTCCTCTGCACTACTACTGCAAAATCTTTTTCTCCATGCAACTGCAAAATAATCATCTCAGTCATTCCTGAATCTAGAATGCCACTGAACTTTATCAAATGAGCTCTTCTGAGCATCCCAATTTTGCACAGAGACTCTGTCAAACTTTTGAATTGTACAACCTGCCAATTGCTGCTAATGCATTACTCCCAGGCCATCTCACAGTCCTGTCACCCCATTTTGGCTGCCTCGCCATCCGGTGACTTTGCACTACAACTGTTACAAGCTGCCTGTTGGCACCTGCCTCTAAAATTTTCCTTAAATTAATCATGTCCCCTTCCTACTTAAGTTTTCATTCTGGCTTAGTCTAAAGCCCAATGGACTCGAACAGAGAATCTTCTAGATATACTATTAGACACTGCATTGTTCTCTTCAGCTGTGTAAGGTCTTACCTTTCTTAACATTGAAAGCATCTCATTTACTACTGCTGCAAATTGGAATGACTCAAAGGCTAAAAAGTGACTTTGCTAACAAGGTTTGGTGTAACTGAAGTCATGAGGAATATGATTCTTAAACACTTTATAGATGAGCTCCTACTATGCTGCACCACTCAGCCCAGGGCTCAAGCACCAAGCTTGGCTGTAGCTCAGAAGGCTCTTTGCCATAGTACAAAAATTTGCAAATTTTATCAGAAAGAGTATCTTTACCCAAAGAGTAGAAGTTGGCTTTGCAAAACAACTTAAAGATCATGTCAAAACTGATCTCAAAATGTAAAGATGTTTCAAATGAAATATATGAAATAGTAAATCTCTAATGCATATAGTCAAAATCACTATTTTCTGTTGATTTTCTTTCCATTCTTCTCCTGGAAGAAAGTTGGCATTTACCATTTTAGTAACATCTATTATCACTCTGTAAACATTTCTCAATTTTAGCAGGAAAATCTCCACAAATAAACCATAGATGAAAACTTTCTATGGCTTCAGTCCTTCGCAGAATCCCAGTGTCACACAAGGGATAAAGAAAGAAACAGGATATCCAAGTAAAATATACAAAAATAGGAAGAAGGTTGTTTACGAAATGGCAACCAGAGTCCTGACATATACAATATTCTCATTGTTTTTTCCTTTGCCATAAGTTTTCTGACCCTTCTGTTTTGCCTTTTTTTTTTCATCAGCTTTTTCTATCACTATGGCAAAGGCAAATATCCTTTGGAAGGAAGACCATCTTCCCTCCTCCACACTTCCTCCCGGCCAGAGAAGAAAGAACATCGATTTATTGTCCTGACAAAGTTGGCCACCTGGACAAAGACACCCATCGTTCTCAGGGCAGAAGTGCAAGACTAGAGCATACTCTGGCAAAATCTGCCTGAGGATCAGATCATTTGCCACATCAGCAACATTCACTGTAAGTCCAATGTCTAACTCACAGCTACAGTCACCAGCAGTTGCTTTAGCGGAAGACGAAGACTGCACATAACGGGCCAAGTCCATCATGCACTGTTTTAAATAATGTCGTATTTGCTGAGAATATTATGTCTTCTTACTTGAGGTATGACTTCCTTCTTCAGCTTGGCTTACTTTACTCCAAATATTATTCCTTCAACAGTGGAAAACCAAAATTTTTTTTAAAGTCAAAACCAGATGGAGAATGAACAATGCAGAAAAAATACTGGTAAATACTGAAGCATATAAATTTGTGTAATTTGAACATTTTATCTCTGAAAACAGCAAGAAACTTCCTGAAAGCTTCCCAGCTACCAATTATCATATAATCAGACAGTATCAGTTTGAGAAATCAAAACCTACTTAATTCAAGGAAATGTGAAACATTTGACTGGAAATGAGAGGAATTCTCAATCATTAAAGCACAGTTCTTGCTAGTTTTCAGCTAAGAAAAGTAATCCTCCTCATTTCATTATGCTGTGATATTTATAACACTGGAACTGCTTGTATTTAGTCTGTGGCCTTTATATTTGACTTTTAATCAAAACAAGTTATAGAAAGACAGAAGAAAAAATATTTTAAAAAAAGGAATTTAGGGCTAACGATGGTCTAAAATCACTGCCATGTAAAAAACTGATTTTTTATTTTTTATACATTCCATCCAGCTGTAGGAATTAGACCAGTTTTACTGACCTTCACTAACTGTGTGAGTTGACATATAGACACTTACAGATATCCTATATTGCAGTGTTCATATCTGCAGTTTAACCCTATTCTGTTATGTCCCTTTGAAAGGATATTTTGTCCCAGTTACATTTTAAAACTCCTTACAACACAAAACTTCATGGCCTATACTTAAAACACATAAATGCTCTGTGCTCTATAAAACATATGCAGACATATCAATATAGTAAGTTATTAATATCTACATGACATATAGACTAAGTAAAGGAGAAAATACACATCTGATTCTCAATATATTATAATTCTTTATCTAAAAAGTTTTTACTTAGCGATTTATGTATATACTGCAGACTACTCCTGAAAATGTCTTCTATAATGTCTTTTAGTAAAGATATATAAAACAAAAATTTGTTTCCTAGTGCCACAAAAATACTATATCTGCATCTATTTTGTCAGTATGAAGAAACTCCATAACAAGAAGACTCATTTCAACAATGAACTTATTAGTCCCATTCTACATAAGACAGGGAATTTATATCTTAAACTATCTCAGCTAATTTAAGGTTCATTTATAAATGTTCATTTATGTTCATTTATAAATGTTTTTCTCACTTTGCTGGTGAATGCCAGTATCACCAAGTTGTTTGTACATGTACAAGTGAAGGCCAAGGACTACTGTTTCTGATGGAAACTGCCATTTGACTTGTCTAATAAGCTCAAAGGAAATGTGTGCTGCTATTCAAACTGTGATGGAAAACATTCACTGCGAATGACCTATCCAGGAATGTTAAAAACTTAACTGTAGTAGCAAAGGGAGAAAAAATACTACAATGTTCCAAGTTCTATTGGAATCCTTCTAGGTAGCTCAAGTGTTGAACCTATGTATCTACATGTTGAACTACATCTATCTTCAAAAGTACTATGTTCTCTAAAGACCACATAAAATACATATACAAGCAAATGGAGAAATCAATCTCAATTTCAGTTTCCTTTAAAAAATGGTTGAAAAATATTTTTAGTTAAAAGTCAGTAAATACTCACCTACATCTTATTTGATTTTGACATAACTGTCATGTGAGTTCTCCAACAGAACACAGAACTAATCTCCCTGATGCAGGTACACAATTGCTTTCAATATCCTGGTCAACTTTTTTTTACCTGTTTAATACATTTACTTTCCTATCATATTAGTCTAGATTTTTTTATTTTATATTTTAGTCATATTTTTATAAATGTCTAGCAACTTTTTTATGTAGTAAAGCATCAGAGTTAGTAATAACAACAATAACAACAATAGCAGCAACAACAATAATAATCAGAGATATAGCATTACTTTGGGGAAAAAAAATTAAGGCAGTTGAGAGGCACTAATATTTTTTTATTTGCTTCTCTACAGAAAAATATGTGACCAGAGTGAGATGGCCATACAAACATCCATGAGATTTTCTTAATGCGGGCCTTGTAAATCTTGCCATCCATCAGGCATTGAAAGTTCTTTACTTGCAATAATTTCAGAATGTTATTCTCAAGAATTAGCACTAGCCATTGCATTTTGATTCTTTTGGACCAATGCAAAGAGGATGGAGCCTTATCTTCCTTAGGAAGGACTTCAAAATTATGAATGACTGCCAAGACAACCAGCCTTTGCTAGGAAAAGTAATGTTAAAACAATGCAATAGGTCACTGGAAATTTCCCTCTAAATTTTTTTATACACAGCATTTTGGGGAGCAGAGGGAGGTAGGGCTTCCATTCAAAACATAAACCCCAACTATGTTACAGAAAACTACAGTTACAGAAACATAGGCATTTCACACAATTACACTAAAGAACAGTAGGTGCTTTTGGAGTCTCCACCCTGAAACAGTTTCCTGTTTTTCAAAACTTCAGTTACTGATGCTAAATGATAAAAGATTCACTTTAATATATCTCATCTCCTTACAGCCCCTATGCCGTTTCTAAATCTCAGTCACTGAAATTAAGCTTTCATGCAGCTGCGAAGCCTGTGCAAACTGACCACTGTTACATGCCAGACTAGAACTTGATGTAAGTTACTTGCAAAAAGAATCAGTATTCTCATTTTCACTGTGGGGTACCTCATGTTTCTCAGATGCTATATTAATAATTAAAAGCCTTAAAAATACACAAAAAAGGGAAAATTGAACAACTGAACTAAACTCATCTCCTAGTGCTTGGAGAATTTGTTCATACAGCTATAGGGTTAGTTTTAGACTTCAGAAACGCTCATTAAAACCATAAAGATACATTTACAGAAACACAGCTTCACAGGATAAAAGCAATTAGTCATGGATCAAATACTGTTAATAAAATGGAAGTGCTTTGTACTTCCAAACTTGTTCTAGTGAAGATGACTATTGATCAAAACACTTTCTTAGAAACTCCCACATCAATAGCTATATGTAGAAACAAAAAAAAATTACATAGTCAAATCTGTATTGACATCATTTAATTAAACAAAATCCATCTCAGGGTCCCTTTCAAAGCGTATCTCCTGTACTAGCCCATTTTCTCCCTTTGATAAAAAGAGAATGAGTCAGGCTCTTAAGAAACCTGGAGAGTAGATGCTTAGGAAGTACTGCCCTTCCCAAACTGTATCTAAGCTCTTAACATACTTTCAAATTATTTCAGATTTTTTTCCAGGTAAAGTATGAATAATATTTAAGAGAATTTCTCTAGAATGTCTCAGTTTGATTAGTGCACCTTTTTTTTCCTGACATCACAAGCAACAGTTTTCAAAGTACATGCTGCAACAGCATGAAACCTGCTTAGACCTGTCCTGCTGCTTTACTGTCCTGATCTGATTCTCAGACTTTAATGAACTGCCCCCTCCAAAAAAAAAATCTAATCACGAAATGCAAAGCCTTGCCAGTCCCCACTCATTGTCTTTACAGTTCATGAGTAAAGACAGGTTGATGGGAATTACTGTATCTTCCTATAAAGGTATTTTGGCTTTGAGATATTATCTGACAATTAAGACTATTTTGAAAATGTCTGCACCCCTGGCAATGTTCACTTGATTGTGTAAATCTTCCATACTACCAATATCCTTAAAAATCAGTATAAAATAATTTCTTAGGTAAAATCTGAAAATACTCTACATCCCTTTTGATCTTCCTAATTTTTTTTTCCAATCTGTTAAGCTTGGAAAGTAGATTTTATGGTATATATGCTGCTCTTACAATATAATTTTTAATATCCTGCACCCAAGAATATATAATTGTTCGCATTACTTATTTTAAGATGTAAAACACAACTCTGCAAGTTTTAACCATTCTATTTCTTTTTTACCAAAAAGTTCAGTTCTTTCCAAATGGAAGTATTATCTAAATATTGAGTATGACCAGGCCATATACACACCATCCCTTCAGAACAAATAAACACGGTTCAGCTCTTGCTTGCATGTTCTCAGGATAGTCCTAAATGCACCTACACTGTAGCTGCACAGCACAGCTGGTCTGGTGGAGCTGCATTCCCATGGTCTGTGGCAGGATGACATGGTATGATGGAATTTCTGCAATGAGATATTTTGTTTAAAAATGCTATTAAGGCTGCAAATTCATATTGTCTAAAATAGGAAAGAAGAGAAAGTTTTCTTACATCCCCACATACCTTTTTTTTTTCCTAGGAAACCTTCAGTTCCTTTACTGCAGGAGATAAACTGACTGTTATAAAGAATGAGGGGTTGGACTACAAAGGAGACCCTTGGTACTTGAACTTTTCTCATTTAGCCATAACTAAATTTAGTGAGCACTATCATTTATCTAATTAAAGTAGTAAGGAATGCTTATTACTCTGAAAATTCAGGTGCTCAACTTAGGTGCCTAACTCAAAGTTAATGGAGTTAGGTGCTCCAGAGAAGCGTGTGGAAAACAACAATAAATTAATCAGTGGCAGTTGTCTTCCATGTTTTGGTAATGTCCATCAACTATGTTGGCCTAGGTACAATAAAAACACATTTGTTCAATTCAGTACACCTACTATCCTCTGAATAAGTTGTAAGGGAAGGGAAGGTTTTTAAATCTCGTTACTAATAGGAATTGCCGTAATATCCTCACGATTACGAGGAAATGCTTTGAGATTACAGACTAAATGGAGAAGGCATCGTAACAGAGCAACTGAAAAAAACAGCTTTAGGCTATATGCAGCTTCTAGACACTTTTCACATGGGAAGTGACAGCCATTTTGTCCCATTTACCACACACACATCCACTTCTACAAGGGAAGAACACCAAGCAAGACCCAGATCCTCACAGCAATTTCTCTGGATAGAAGTTCATGATTTTTTCTGTACTAAGTGCACCTAAATTCCAGGGAAATCGAGGGAAATAACACAACTGAGCAGAGATTGAGATTTTAGTCTCTGGAACAGCACACATGCAGAGTCCTTCGGTTACACCAGGAAAACACTTCCTGTTTAGAAATGGGCCTGATAAAGAACTTGTTCTCTGACAATCCATCTTGTAAAACACAATAAATCTGAGATCAACAAAGCTTGGATGAGGAGCAACTCAAAAATAGCAGTCCAGCACTTGTGGAGAGCCCAGGTGCCCGAATCCAAGCAGCCAGCTGCGACTGCTACAAGCCCCTCCACAGCACAGGCTCCTCTGGCCTCCTACAAGAAAGTCTTAATGTGAACCATGAAAAATCTATCCAGAGAGCTCATCAACCAAAGAAAAACATTTGGTCTGTGGAGAGAAAAACCTCATGCAGAATTTAGATTCAACAGTGATTCCTAACAGTGGGGGATTTTGTGTGACATAACACTTGTAGTAGGCAGTTATAACAGAAGAAAATATTGGAATCGAGCCTGTTTAATATTAGATAACTTTATATTATTTGTTACCATAAAAAGATTTATTTACAACAAACACACAAAAGTATATACTCTGGAAGTCTCAAAAGCTCCAGAACATTCAAAGGTTAGACTTGATGATCTTCAAGGTATTTTCTAACCTTACTGATTCTATAATTACTATTATCATCTCAATTTTCAAACTCAGAGAAACCTTTGCTCATGTTAAAATCCTATGCTTCAACTACTTGTGCTACCAATCATTCCCAGTTAGATGTCCCATGCAAAATTGCCTACATTATCTAATGACAAAAAAAAAGTCTGCCTTTTAACATGTTCACTAAATACACAATTTTATGCATAATAGTATAATTTGTCAGTAGTGTGCAGAAGCTCAACATCATCTTTCTAAATTTCCTTTTCTCTTAAATGCGCTAACTTACCCAGAAAAAGTAAAACAGCCCACAGTAATAGGTTTCCTAACAGCTGCTTGATAGATTGATGCACATTAATAGAGCTCCTTCCTGATAAAATTACCAACGGCTGATCCCCAATGACTTCTTTGTCATTGTGTGAATATGTACATAGTTTTTCTTATTCAGACATACAGACAACTGTAGGTCATGCTCTCACAGTAATTTCCTCTGTTCTCTTCCTTTTGGACAGTCAGAAATGCCTTCCAAGTATGCTGATGGTCTCATGCAGTGGAGAGTAAGGAGTCACAGTATAAATATTTAACAAGCACAAACACGCAAAGACTCTGTATCTTATGAAAAGATAGCTACAAAGAGAAATTCAGCCTTGCGAAGTTCCCTCTCTGCCAAGCAGTTTTGCAGTACTGCAATGGCAAATGCCCCAAGTTATTTTGGTGAGGAAGCCCCACTGGGCAAAGCACTGAAGCACTGAAGCACACAGCTGTTTGAGAAGTACCTGCAAGATCTACTCACAAGCATATAGTTCTCCAGGTATATAAAACTATTCTCAGACCCAAAGTTGCTTAAAATATTTCCTGCTTCACTACCACATTTCTATACTTCCTTCTTGATTATCACTTGCCTTAGCATCCTCTGGTTCCTGGCAATTTTTCAGCACTTTTGTCCCTGAAAACTGCAATAACCTAGAACGATGAAGACAATCTGCTGCCAAAGGTACTTTGTTCTGTCATTCTATCTTTCCAAGTCTGTACAACAACAAATTGTACAATTCTACAATTTTCCTGTAGTAGAACAGTTGCAAGTGTTAGCATTTACAGTCACATCAGGCATGTAAAACTTTTGAACCTTTCTTGCAGTAATGTCTCTTTAAGTACCTGGGCTCTCCTCTTTCAATTTCTTTTCAGTTATCAGTAAATTAAGAATTACTTTGAAACTCTTCTTTCTGGTAATTAATTTTTCATCTTATTTTCAGTTGTTCAGTTTCACTATCCTTCTCCTTAATTATGAAATCACCTGCACCTTTATACATTAAAAGCACACCCAGTTTTCCTTTGCGTATTTATTTTCTCTTCCCAGTTCTGCAGAGCGTAATTTCAAAATTCTGCTTTTATTTTCTTTAAAGACTCTCTTCTACACTGACAGTTCTCATGTTTTATATCACCATAGTCGTTCTTGTGTCTTTTTCCAGTCCTCTCAAGATCTCATGCTAAATGCTCTCATTTCTTTTCCAATACGCCTTTCTGAGAGCCATTTTCTAACATTCCGAATTACGGCCAGCATGCCAGACACCTCTCTTACTCCTTTATAAACCTTTCCTCACTTGTACCTGGAAAGAGTTAGCAAGATCACTACTTTTTCAAAAGCCATTAATGGTTCAAGGCACTACTGAATGTAGCCTGCAATTGCTCTGATAGCTAAAATTAGCAGAACTGAAAGATATTTTATAGCACAATATTTGCGGGCATTTAGCCTGTTTACATGCCTTATAACTTCCAATACTAGCTAAATTCTCAAACTCCTTGCTTCCAAATCCTTTCCGAATCTAGTCCTACATTACTTCTTAGTTTTGCGTAATCATGCCATTGTTCTTCTCCCACCTAGTTCCTGCTCTGTCATTCCAGCTAGTTCATTTGTACAAAATCAGTTAATTAAACTAAGATTTCCTACTATTCTTTTTTTTCAGTTATCTTGTTGGAAATGCCCCCACCTACTTAGAAACCTGAAAAAAATTCCGAGATATCAAAACTGAAACTTTCTACAGGAGAATAAAAAAGAAGGAAAGAAAATGGGTAAAATGTGACATTTATGAAATGAAACAAAAAATGGGATTAAAAGAATACTCTTAATACTCTTCACATTAAGTTCAGTGTAGGCTCTCAGCACATTGCACACTCTCAAAACTGAAAAGAATATTTAGATGTTACTTCACAGGTGTATTTCTTATTATTAGTTCTCCAAAATACTGAAATATATATATAATATCAGTGAGGGTATTAGCTCCAGTTAACTATGTAACTGAACTTTCATATATGCTTAAGTGTTTTGCTAAATGAGTCCTTACAATCCTAAATAAGAATGGTAAATGAAGGTGTCAAAATGCTAGAAACACTCCTCTTAGTTGGTGGAGCATTAAGCAATGAACTCAGAGATTTGTGGGCTTTGTGCAAAAAACCTTTAGCAAACCTTTACTATAGCAATCGCATATTAATAGTTCTGAAAATGTTTTGTACATGTGTACTAGAGCAGACAGCTGTTAAATGTAAGTTTGAAAGCTGTGGAAATACCCTTGTAAAAGAGAGGAAATGGAATTTCCCCCCACATCAATTATTACTCCAAAATACAAAAGATAAAATTAATATCCTAGTCATGGATGGAGTTGAATTTTTAGGAATACAGAAAAGTCTTCTCAAATTCCTGATATTCTGTGGAGATTTGCAGGGGCCTCTATATCCTGCTTATAGCTATTCTTTCTCAGTAAAAACCTAATCTCTGTCAGCTATTGGACCTTTTTTAAATTTTTGTTGGAATAACTCTTGTATTTTGCAAGTCTAGACTAGAACAGAAAGAAAAGGAAAAGGAATGTACCTGGTCAAATTAACTCCTGCTTCACGCAAATGCTGCAGACAGCACACCAGGTGCATGGAGGGGAGGCTCTTTACTCTGCCTCGCTCCACTGGTTATGAATGTTCTTGCCTTTTTTCCCCTAGTCCTCACCTGTGCTGCAGCAAGCTGCCTTTACACATTCCTGGTCATAACAGGAGGACTGCAGTTTAGAGCAGCATTACTGGTCAAAGCTTACTCTCAGAGAGAAAACAGAGAAAGGAGAAAGGCCAAAAAAAAGAGCGAGAGGGAAGTCCTTCCCCCATGCAGTGGGCCCTGGCAGGAAGGCTACTGCTCCCAGGAAGGTTGCTTGTGGGTGAGGAGCAATTGCAGAAGCTGCAGCCAGTCTTTGGGCAGACAGGCTGGGGGCACTTCCACATAAACTATTACAACAGCCAGAAACATTAAGAGTTTCAATAGGAGATGAAAAGAGAGATGTGTGGCTTTCCACAAGCTGTGCCTTTACCTGCAAATGCAGTCGCAGGCTTGGGTTTGCATCCCAAACTGAGGCAAGCAGAAAAATGGTCTCTGAGCCTCAGCTCTTACTCTGTTCTCCAGCCTGCCCTCTTCAACAGCAGCCTGGAAGACACACCCTCGATAAATTAGGGCAACTAAGTCAGGGTGTCTGCAAATACTGAGCCAGTGTTGGGAATCTGTAATTTGCAACGGCATATTGCAGCAAATATTCATAGATGATTAAAATAAACAAACACCATTAATTTGGTGCTTTCCAAGACTGTTAAACAAATTAATTTGGCAGAAGCTGGTTTTTTAAGCAGAAGAGTGATTTTAAAGTGACTATTGCAGTATAAATGTATTTATAATAACTATTTGAAAATCTCATCTGCTCTTCAAATCAGTACCGTGCAAAATGCCATGCCAATGAAGAGCCTATTCAACATTCCATTTTCTAATGCACTCCTACTATTGTCCAGAAATTATCTGCATTGTAATAAATAATTGTTCATTAATTCAGACCAACTAAGACCCTTAAGAAATTAAGACCTTTAATATTTTCATGTACTGTCTGTGTCTTTGCCAGAAAACTGACAGTGCTCTAGGACTATTTCATAGACCTTGTTTGGACTTCCTGTGAAGAGTCATCAGCCAAAATTTAATTATCTTATTACTTTTAGGATTTTACAAATATATTGCCCATAAAATATACTGTTTTGATGAACCATCTTGTGGATAAATTCATCCAAGGATAGTGAAGTAAAATAAGCAGTTTCAATGTGTGATAAGCAATTTTTAAAAATATATTAATTTTTAGAACAATTGTTTTTAAACATACAGATTTAAAGTACATTGAATTTATCAACTTGTGCTTTCTTCAGTTCACCTATGACACTAAATCCAAAAACCAGCCATGTTGGATTTCTTGCTGAGTGTGCCTATTTTATGGCTGCTGCTGCAATCCAAAATTAGTACTTTATTTAGTATCAGCACTTTCTGGAAAACAAACACAAAGTTGATGGTTATTTTTAAGAATGTGCTGCATCACACATTTAGAAAATACAAATAATACCAGCAAACATGAATGAGATGTACCTTATAGAGTGTCACAGGAAACAGAAATCTGACAGAACAAAGAGATCTTCCTATCACCAATAACTAGAAGTTGGACCTGCTATTGTTTATTTAAAACATAGGGAGAACTCTACTTCCTGTCACTATATGTGTATTTTGCTCCATATACAACATGACCCCTGACTTACAATAGACATTGGAGAACTCCTTGGCTTCCACTCAGGTTAGCCATTACAGACTGAACCTGCAGAAGGTTCAGCCAACATCCACACTGCTTTAAAAGGATTTGACACATCATCAGAAAAAACAAAATGTGAGTTTCCTTGAATTCTACAGGGAAAGCACTTGAATGGCAAAAAAAAAAGAAAACCACAGAAACATTGTCAGGTCAGTGGACAGTTCTGCTCCTTGTTGCTGACACAGCACATAGCAAAACTCACAGCTGCACCAGTACTGCCTCAGCCCTACTGTATTTTTTAGGGATTTTGAAGGCTGAAACCTGCCGTCAGTTCTCCAAAGTGCAGAGCCAACTGGAAAACTGCATGGTAGAGTTCCCACAAAGGAAAACAAATGTGTGAATCCCGTAGAAATAAAAAAAAGAAAATAAAAAATAAAGGCTAGTGTTTAATAAAGCAGCAGTAATCCATCCATAATTAAGGACAAGGCTCATGATCTGCTATGTCTTAATATTAGCAGGAGGAATGGCAGTACCTACTGGGTAACCTACGGCATCCGTGTATGTGATGCCAATGGGAAGATCAACAAGTAGGTTTCTAAATGGAACTAGAGTTTTTCACATGTTGTTAACAGAAGGAAAAGATCTTTTAATTTGTTATAATTTCTTCCAAATTTTATTTCTAAATCCTTTCAGTTAGCCCTTTTGGTGATGGGGGCTTTTTATGTTTTCCATCTCTTGGCAAGCATCATTTTTCCCATTTAAACTTGAAGTATTCCTCCTAGCATATTGATATGAAGCACAGGAGTTAAAAAGGACTCCTGAATCATCAAATACACAATAAAGCAGGAGCTAGCAAATTCAGTGTATCTTGAAATGGGAGGAAGATGTCAAAAATAATTTCTGTTAAATTAATTTTTTTTCTTATTTTTAAACAGAGTGCCACGTAAAAAGGAATTGATTTTTCACTCTTTGCTAGTCTAAGGGATATTTGTTTCACTACTACTGGTTGTTCTAATAGCCTTCTAACAGGTTCTTCGAATTTGCAATTCCACTGCCAACTCATATGCACCTACTTCCCTGCACACTTTTTACAAACTTCTGAACTTCCTGCACTATGCCTTCTGTCTACAGATGATTGCCTCTCTTCTAGCCTCTCTTGAAGCATCTTTGATAAAATTCCTGTTTTCTTGACAGTATTGACTATGTCCATTATCTCATTTTCACTTCCAAGTAGGTGTCTTGCTCTCCATTCCTTCTGAGCCCGTTTTCTCCTCTTTGTTCCTACTCCTCTGCTCTATTTGTTTTCCTGCTCGTTCCTTAACACTGTCCTGGTAGGACTGCAGGTCTATGAATTGGCTTCACTGACCTTCCTATGTTATTTTGCAAATGTGTAAGCATTAAAATTCTGTAATTATATCGAGTTTTTAATGTCATCTTTCTCATCCTTTTTTTGCAGGTTTCCCAGGAGTTCCTCAAGTGCCTCCCTAGCAACTACTAATGTTGTAGCTTTTCTAACATTTCCAAATTAGTGACATGCTCATCCATGACTCTTACTGTCACATTAATGACATACTGAACTCTGAAGGAACAGTATGGTATTCTTTGGTTACCTTCTGCCATGAAAAAATGCTACTAAATCAGTTATTTTTTGCATCTGCTTTGTGACAGATGCACATTTGTGTAACTTGTACAGCAATCCCTCACCTCTGAGCCAACAACTATTGAACTCCTCTAAAAGAAGTACTCTTTCTTCAGCAAAAGACCTTGGTTCAAACATTGCATGCTGCAATGCAGGCCCCTTCATAAGCAAAAGATACTAATGAAGAAGCCTAGAGGTTGGCTTTATTACAGATGCAAAGTTGTTTGGCTGACTGGGTTTTATTTACTTTCAAATGCTGAGATCTTCTTTAAAGTCACTATTAAAATAGACCTCCCCAGCCTTCCAAAGCTTACAAATATTTTTGTTTATTTGTTTTGTGTTTTAATAACTTTGACATTCTTCTAAGGAATTCTGAAGCTTAAACTGCCTACTTTTATCTTAAATAGTAATTACCGGTTAGGATTGCCTTATAATTTTAATAAAAACTATATTAATTTTTTTTGTCTGACTTTCATTTCTGATAAAAACACAAATGGAGGAATTACATATATTACTTAACTAAAAACTAGTAAAAAATAATTGTGCTCTAAAAACAGAGACAAGGGAAACTGACATATCATAGTGAGAATATGTATATTTTATGTCTATAAATATATTATATAAAATATAAATAAAATACATATAAAAATTTTACGTATTTTTATGCATATAAAGATAACTTAATGAGTGTCTTACAGTAATTACCCCAGATATTTGCTTGAGCAAAATTTCTGCTTTGGCAGTGCAGGTCCCTTCACCTCTATCCTTAAAAAATCTTTAAAGGAAAATTTAATGAGTGCTTTAGGGTGTATTTTTTTTCCCCTCTAGCTTTCTTGACCAAATCAGATGAGTGTGTTGGTTTCCTGTAACTGCAGACATGCAGTACATAGCTTATCTACTTCCATACATAATACCATATTTGAACAGAAATATCTGAGTATTTGTTTAAAAAACACAAATATGTTTAAGTTACGTTGCAGCAATGATGGACAAGCTATTTCTCACAGTTTTATCTGTGTAGGCAATCTTAAAGTCATTTTACATCTGCAATTTCTTTCATGTCTATATGCTTACATTTAAGCCTGTTAGTGTTATTAAAAAAAAGCTAATTAATTGTATCAGTGGAAAGCCTGTTCTCTCCCTAATTCCACTTCAGGAATTCTGACCCTGTTTTTGCTGATATCTATTAAATTCTGGAGGCTTTTTAGACCAGATGACTTGCACAGCTTCATCCTGCTCACCAGCAGCACATGATCCCTTTGGACCATAGTGCCATCTAGCTTCTTTTTCCTGACCACAGTAGTTCCATGTGCTGAACACAGTTCTGTGATGTAGCAAAAGGAGGGCCAGGGAACCATTGTTAACAGAAAAAATGGTCAGGTTAGTCTTGACTTTGTCTAGACACACAGCTGAATAAGGGGAGCCTGACAATAAACTCCTCTTTGATCATCCAATCAAAAAATGTGAGACAAAAGTATGCATTTTCCTTAGGAATAGGTCTTATTGCTTCTCTTGAAAACAGAAAACGAAGATCCATCCTGATGGTCTAGGCATGCTACCACTGCCTTTGCAAAAGCTCTAGCACTGTACCAATACTATACACACACTTCACAGGGTATCAAGGATGACATGGCTAAATCCTCTCACATTGCTGAAGGCATTTGTCTCTTAAAGAAAAATCTCTGCTTTCACATGAGAAATATGTGAAAAGACTTGGAAAATTCCCTGAGTTGCCTGGATTTCATTTGCCTTTGCAATACACGCAGGACCTCCCTATATGTAAGCACACAACAAATCCAGCCCCCTTAACAAAGGCACAACCCCATAAAAAGGGCCGCAGTAGTAGAACAGTTAAAGTCTCTTCCATGTCTGGGTCTGACTCATGTCCTTGGCAGCTTCTGGTGTCCAGGACTATATAAGACCTAATCTAGTTTTCTTAATATTTCTTTCTTTCTAATTCACTGACGTGCTTGTTACTGCTAGGAGGGATAAGTATTTCCTGCTGTGTCCTGTGGGCATGAATTGCTTCCTCAGCTGGCACCATTACACGCACTTCTGCTTTTAATGCCTACTACTAAAACAGCCAAGTCTTCAAACATTTACTTCAGAAGGAAGGTCCAAATAAAGATTTCCTATGAAATCCTACTAATCAAACACACTTCTTAAATGATTAGGGTATAATAATAATAATAATCCCTGAATAATTAATAAACTAATTGAAATTCCACTGCCCTTATTCCTTTCTATATAAGCCACCTGAAGTCTGTGAAGAGACAAGGATAAATGGGCTACTGCATGTGTAAAGGTGGCATAAATGTGCAGCTGTTAGAGGGATTGAGTGGCTGTGGCCTTTTGCAACTGTAGTAACTATTTGCTCCACGAGTTGCACTCACACAGATTCCTCGATATGGTTGCCCTAGAGCATTTTTACATTTGGGAAGAGAACTGTTTTATACATTTGTATACTTAAGAGATGAGACAATATTTTTTTCTTTATAAGTAAATGAAAATTGTCTCCTGAATCTAAAAGAAAATAGGCTAACTGTATTAATAAATCTGAAGAAGCTACCACATAATGACTTAAAATTTGTTCTCGTGGTTCTGCCTTACATTCTACAGAAATCAGACTATTCTCTGAAGTGGGGTCACCTATTTTATTCTCTGGGAAGACATGCTCTATCTACCACCCACAACCCGCAGCCTCACAAACGTGTCTCCCAGGAGTCCTGGCTCTGATTCCTAGATCAGCTTCTGGGCATTAGAGGTCACCAGTGTCCAACAGGGCAGTGACCTTGGGAGGAACAGCTGGAACAGCCCAGGCACTGTGTGTTCTGCTGCATGAGGGTACGGGCTAATCGACACACTGACACACGCTGCCAAACAAGCTTTCACAGGATTTCCCTGATCTCCGAGCAATAACTGCAGTTTTTTAATATCTTAAATTACCAAACTCAGCTGAAGGCATGCTCATTAAGGGATAAGAAGTTCTGGCAAGTTTGGTTTATGTCAAATGAAGTAAACCCATAGTTTAAAAGGCTGCATATTTTGCAATTATATACACATATACGTACATGTAAGTATATGTAATTAACAAAATATTTTTCCCCTCAACAATCTCAAAATGTATTTGTGTTTGGGCTGGTACCAAGCATGGGACACTACCATCTCAAGGATTTTTTTAGCATAGTATGACTACACTGCAGAAGGGACTATAATTATAATCTTGACATTACCATAACGACCGTGGTTGCTATCAGGTGACAGGTATAATATAGATAATCAGTAGACAGTACAATAGCAATATTTAATGATGCATGAGATAGAAGAAAATTAATTCATTCCTTTAATTCAACTCAGAGCCATCATTTGTTATATTTGCACGTGACTTTCCTAATCCTGTTTTTATTTACATGAGTTATATTAAACAACAGAGCCAAGCAAGATATCTGCTGCAGAATTCAGAGATCTTACATTTACTCTTCATATACAATGAATAATTTTTGTGTTCTTATTTATCTCTATGTTTTAACACAATATAGTTCTACTGCCTTGATTTAAATAGCATACAAAAAAAAGCTGATAGCCATAGTGAAAGCTATGAAAAGTGCCTTTGCCTTGAAATCAAACAGAAGCAGTAGTGAGGCTGTTTTCTGTTTTCCCATGTTGCAGTCTACCAACTCTCTCATAATCTGCCTGAGAGAAATAATGCCACAAACTGAGAAAAACTAATGTAAGAGTAAACGAAGGTGGTGTGTTGAATGAAAGAGGGACAATTATGCTCACTGGAGGAGCTAACATGGCTGCACACTTCAAATACTGCAAAATTTTATCACTACCTTTACAAAAAATGATTAATTAAAGAGATATTTTTATGGAAAAGGACATTCCTACAATGAATCTAGTCCAATATTTGTAGATGGCAATTGACAAAATGCAACAGAAGACAAAGGAGTAATACTTAAACATAGATAGGAAAAAGTACTACTCACATATCTTCACAATA